AGAATAGAATAGAATAGAATAGAATAGAATAGAATAGAATAGAATAGAATAGAATACAGTATAGAGAGTAGAATAGAATTTCAGAATAGAATAGAACAGAATAGAATAGAATTGCAGAATAGAATAGAATACAATACAGAGAATAGAATAGAATTACAGAATAGAATAGAATACAGTATACAGAATATAGAATAAAATTTCAGAATAGTATAGAATACAGTATAGAGAATAGAATAGAATTGCAGAATAGAATAGAATACAGTATAGAGAATAGAATAGAATAGAATAGAATAGAACAGAATTGCAGAATAGAACAGAATACAGTATAGACAATAGAATAGAATGGAATTACAGCATAGAATAGAATTATAGAATAGAATAGAATAGAATAGAATAGAATAGAATAGAATAGAATAGAATAGAATAGAGCTGGAAGGGATCTTAGAGGTCTTCTAGTCCAGCCCCCTGTTCAAGCAGGACAACCTATTAATATTTCAGCTGTGACTGTAGAGTCTAGACTCTTCTTAAAAACCTCCAGTGTAGAGTTCACAGAGGTGTCCTCGGTCGTGGATGGTCACCAGATGACTTAAAGATAGTAGCATCACCCCAAGTTCGACTCACCAGCTTTGGGAGGGGGGGTGGAAATTGAGGAGGGGGAGGGCTTAATGGATGTCCCAGGGGGAACCTCCCCTCTCATTGTTTCTCTCCTCAGATTTCAGTAGGCGAGGCTTACCTGGTCTACACCGAACGCTTGTACTCCCGTTCCCAGTTTAACAATTACCTGGCCGCCCTCTACAAAGTTATTGGGACATTCCTGTTTGGCAGCGCCGTCAGCCAGTCGCTGACTGACTTGGCCAAGTACACGATCGGCCGCCTGCGGCCCAATTTCCTGGCCGTCTGTGACCCAGACTGGACCAAAGTGAATTGCTCGGTTTACATCCAGGTGGAAGACGTGTGCCAGGGCAACTCCAGAAGCATCACAGAATCCAGGTACGTTCAACGCCGTCAGAGATGCAGAGGGTCCTCGGATTTACGACCGCAGTTGGATCCCGGTTTCCATATCCATATTCCATACTAGCTGGATACCCGTGCTTTGCTACGAAACTATGTGGTAGAGCTTAGTTTTGGGGGAGGAAAATAAGGGGGGGGGAATTCTACCTCTGCCTACCAGTACCCATCGTTATTCATCTGGCTAGTGTCCTGTCAGTGTGTGAGAGAGTTGAGGGCTCTTTGGAAAGTGAAACAGTATTTGCTGTGTGAGCAAGAAGGAGACAGCAAGGAGCCTGGGCGTGGCTTAGCTCAACTGTTCTGTACTAAAGCTGCTTGGTGCTCTGAAACGGAACCTCCTCTCCTCTGCTTGTATTTTGCATTTGGAACAGATTTCTTTTCAGGTGGGGAGGGGGAGTAGAACTCCTTAGCATCAGAGCGTGTTAATAATAATAATATAGGAAATATTAATGCTCTGATGGTCATTTAGAAAAATCCTTTCTTAGTGAGCCCCTAGAAGCCAAAAGGAACATAGGGGCCAAATTTCAAGTTTGTAGGCTTTACGGTTCTGGAGATTTTGTGATGATGTGTGAGTGGTATTTTGCTTTTATATATATAGATAGATAGATAGATTGCTTCTGTATTGCAGTGGAATATTCCCTGAAATTTTTCTTCCAGGAAAATAAACAACAGCTGGTCCTCATTTAGTGATCACAATTGGACCTGGAATTTGGTCATTAAATGAAACATAATGTGTGAGGAGGCGGCAATATACATTTTCTAAAATAAATAAATTAATAAACTGTGACAGTGTTTGTACTCTTATTTTAGCTTTGTTTACAGACCAGCAAGTCTGTAAATGCAAGGATTTTTGTAAAGTTCCTTTTTCATCACTGTAGTAAGGGGATGGTCACTAAATGAGACAGTCATAAAGGAGGACTATCTGTATCTATAATTAACTATTAACCTTTCTTTTCTGGATTCTTTTGAATCAGTCGTGACTCCAATGACCGCCTGACCGTGTCCCTGCAGTTTTCTTGGCACGTGGTTGGCCATTGCTCCCTTCCTAGGGTTGAGGGAGAGTGGCCGGCCCAAAAACACCCAGTTGGCTTTCTGCCTAAGGCAGAACTTGGACCAAAAAGGCCCCATTTTCTAGCCTGCTGCCTTAATCACTGCACCAAACTGCCCTTTTAATTAAAGTCTATAAAAATTGTGAGGATTTACTTACCCAGTGGCTACACACACACACACACACAATATTGCTTCTGTCCAAACAGGGTCATTGAGGTGAGGAAGTGGTTACCCAAATGCCATTACAAAAGTTCATTTAGTGACCGTTCCAAGTTACAACAGCACGTAGAAAAGGGACTTATGACCGTTTTCCACACTTAACAACCGTGGCAAGCATCCCCAGAATTCAACCGCTTGGCAACTGACTCCTGTTGATGACGGTCGCAGGAGTGGGATTCTACCGGTTCGGGCGGACCAGATGTTAAAGCTACATCCGGTTGGCCAAACCGATATGGATGGCCCCGCCCACCTCGCGCCTCCTCTCCCAGGAGTCTCCACGTGGCCCATTTTCGGTGGCGGTAAATGCAGGGTCCACGTGGAGGCTCTGGGAGGGGGGGAAAATGGGCCTTCCAGAGGTCCGGAAACAGGCCTGTTTCCAGTTTCCGGAGGGCCTCCAGAGCCCAGGGGAGGCTGTTTTCACCCTCCCGGAGACCCGAGGGAAGCATCCAGACCCTTGGGAAGGTGAAAACGGACTCCCCTAGGCTCTGGAGGCCCACGGGAAACAGTTCCGGTAGGCCACGCCCACCATGGCCACACCCACCCAGCCACCAGGCAGCGAATCGGTTGCTGGGATTTTTGAATCCCACCCCTGCACGCGATTCCCTTCTACGACTTTCCGAGAAGCAAAGCCAACCGGGAAGCCAGATTTCACTTAACAACCATGTGGCCAACTTCATAACTACTACAGGGATTCACTTATCAGCCGCGGCAAGAAAGCTTGTAAGATGGCACTAAATTCGCTTCACAAACGTTTCCCTTAGCAACGGAAAGCTTGGGCTCAATTGGTGGCCGTAAGTCTTGGACTTCCCTGTATCGTTTTTTGCAAAGGCCACAAAACATGACAGCAGCAATTCGATCGGTGTGCAAAGCTACGTGCAAAAAGGGGATTTCAAATATAACATTCCCCCAAGTACGTAAAAGGAAAAAAAACTCTTTATTTCAAGAATAGATGAATGCAAATAAGGAACTGGATTTCTTGGCAATTCTTAAAATCAATGCAGTTATAACCATTAACAGGAAATAGTCAAAAATTAATAATGATTCATCATAGTTAATGAATACAGAGAGTCTTGGATTTACAAGAGTTCATTGGGTGACCATTCAAAGTTACAACAGCCCTGAAAAGAATGATTTATGACCATTTTTCACATTTATGACCCTTGCAGCATCCCCCAGGGTTCACGGGATCAAAATTCAGATGCTTGGCAACTGGCATGTACTTATGCCAGTTGGGGGGTCCTGGGGGGGGTCACGTGATCCCCTTTTGCAACCTCCCGACAAGCAAAGTCAATGGGGCAAGCCAGATTTACTTAAGAGCCGTGTTTTCATTTCATGACCGCAGTGATTCACTTAACAACTGTGGCCAGAAAGGTCATAAGATGAGGCAAAATTTGTTTAACCGATGTTTCACGTAGCAATAGAAAGTTTGGGTTCAATTGTGGGATTCTAATTTAAGGACTTACCTGTTATCTATATATTTCTCTTTTTTTTGGTTCCCTTCTCTTTCTAGATTGTCATTCTATTCTGGACATTCTTCCTTCGGGATGTACTGCATGATGTTTTTAGCGGTGAGTGAGGGATTCGCGGGGTTCAAATGGTTTTTTGGTGAAGAAAGGGGTGACGGCGAAGCAGAATGGATGCCATTTTTGTCATCCAAGGACGCAGCTTCAGGGGTGGGATTCCACCGGTTCGGACCAGTTCTATAGAACCAGCTGTTACGATTCTGCGCAGTTCAGGGAAGCGGTAAATCGCTGGCCCCTCCCCACCCGCCCTTCCCCTCCCTGCCCAGTCAGTCCTTATCGCGCATGCGCGACATCGCACGCACGCCCAACATCACTGATTACATTCTCTCCTGCCCAGTCACTCCTCAAAGCGGTGGTGGCTAACCTTTTTGGACTGCTGTGGCAATAACTACATGCGCGTTAGCACGCGCGCACTCTCGGGACAGCACCCAGAATGCAATGCGTCCCTCCCCCATGCTCCCTGCGCATAGGCGTGCAATGCCACCACCACCCCGCCACCCCCTTACCTGCACTGCGCCTCACAGTTGATTTTTCTGCTTGGTTTGAGGCCTTTTTCGGCCTCCCAGTGGCTTGGCAAAAGCCTCCGCAAGGCTTTTCAGGATGAATAATATGCCTGTTTCATCACTTCTGGTATTATAGGAAGTGATGAAATGGGCCTATTCAGTCCGAAAAGCCTTGCAGGGGCCTCAAACCAGCCGAAAAATCAGCCGTGAGGCGCGCGCATGCGCCAGTGAGGTAAGTTTGCCTGCGGCTCGCATTCCGGCACAAATGACTCTGCGTGCCACTTGTGGCACACGTGCCGTAGGTTCGCCATCACGGCCTTATGGTATTTCATTCTTTTTTTTTTCTCCTCCCAACGATCAGCTGTTCCCACGATCAGCTCCCCCGCCCATCCCAACGATCAGCTGTTCCCATGATCGGCTGTGCCGGGATCCCCCTCGCGGTCTTACTGCTTCGCCCAGGAGGCTTCCCTGAGGCCCAGGAGGCCAGAAAATACGGAGCCCAGGGAGGGATTGCTGCAAAATAAGAAGAAGCCACGCCCGCCCAGTCATGGCTACGCCCACCTGGCCACACCTGGCCACGCCCACAGAACCAGTAGTCAAAAATATGTGCATCCCACCCCCTGCGCAGCTTCGTTTGATTTCCAAGGATCAGGGAGGGAAGCGATTGTGAGAAAGGTTTCTCATCTTAGCCACCTGAAGAAAATGGGTGTGGGCTTCAAACTCCCAGAACTGAAGCCCACCCACCTTCCAAGGGGGCCAAGCTTCAGAAACATGGCTGGCTGGGGAATTCTGGGAGTTGAAGTCCCGTCCCCGCCTTCAAGTCTCCAAGCTTCAAAAAAACCGTTGGCATCTCCAGGTCTCTTCAGAAAAGTTTTGCAGGAGGCGGCCAACATTCCCCCCCACAAATCAGGAAAAAAAATAAAAAGAGATCTGATTGACTTCCAAAGGGGACCGGTTCTTTAAACTAAAAAAAAAAAAAAGAAAGGTAGCAGATGTTCTGCTTTCCCTACGCTCAAGGCTTTCTCTACCTCAATTCTGTGGGATTTTCTACTCATTTAAAAAGGAACCGAGAGGAGCCGCCACAATGCACAGATACAGCAACCCCTTAGCAGCTGCCTTGATCACTGGAGGGGGGGGGAGGTTTCTTTGAGGATCCTTCAAATCCTCAAAGAGTGGGAGAGAAATGTTGCACGGATATTTATTGGTACCTTCCCTTTGTTTATTTATTGGCATCCTTTATTTATTTGCTAACTTTTTACTTGTTCCCTTTGTTTATTTATTCATCTCTTTGCGTGCTTCCTTTATTTGCATCCTTTATTTATTATTTGTTTATTAGTTTATTTGCACGCTTTATTTACTTGCTCCCTTTGTTTGTTTGTTTGCGTGCTTCCTTTATTGACTTAGTTCTGTACTATGTTTATTTTTCCTTCCTTTATTTATTTTTTGGAGACCCCCTGTGTTTATTTTCATGCCCTATTTATTTACTTGCAAACTTTATTGATTTGCTTCCTTTATTGATTTATTTACTTGCATGCTTCCCTTGTTTCTTTACCATTGGTGTGCTTTGTTTATTTGCTTGCCTCCTTCCTTCCTCCTTCTTTCCTCCCTCCCACCCTCCCTCCTTCCCTCCCTTCGTCCTTCCTCCCTTCTTTCCTCCTTCTTCCCACCCACTGTCCTTCCTTTATTTCTTCCTTCTTTCCTCCCTCACTCTTTCTTCCTACCCTCCCTTCTTTCCTCCCTTCCTCCCTTCTTTCCTCCCTTCCTCCTTCTTCCCACCCACTGTCCTTCCCTCACTTCTTCCTTCCTTCCTCCCTCCTTTCTTTCCTCCCTCCCTTTCTTCCCACCCTCCCTCCTTCCCTTACTTCTTCCTTCTTCCCTTCTTTCCTCCCTTCCTCCTTCTTCCCACCCACCATCCTTCCTTCACTTCTTCCTTCTTTCCTTCCTTCTTTATTCCCTTCCTCCCTTCTTTCCTCCCTCCCTCCTCCTTCCCACCCTCCCTCCTTCCCTCACTTCTGTCCTTCCTCCCTCCCTCTCTTCTTTTTTCTTTCCTCCTTTCCTCCTCCCTCCTTCTCTCCTTCCTTCCACCTTCCCTCACTTCTCCCTCCCTCCCCCTCCTTCCTTCTTTCCTTCCTTCCTCCTTGCCTCCCTCCCTTCTTCTTTCCTCCCACCCTCTCTCCTTCCCTTACTTCTCTCCTTCCTCCCTCCCTCTCTCTTCTTCCTTCTTTCCTCCTTCTCCTCTTCCTTCCTCCCTCCATCCCTCCTTCCTTCCTACCTACCTCCTCCTTTCCTTCCCCCCCCCCCCCCTCCCTTCTCTCTCCCTCCCTGCCTCCTTCTCTCCCTCCTTCCTAATTTCCCGTGGCCTCGTCAGACAAACCCAGCTTCGGAGCTCATTTAGGATTGGAGGCATGGGTGGAATTCTATTTGGGCATCGAGTTCAGCCTTGGGGTCCAAAGGAAGACCTTCTCTTCCAAAGTCAGAATCCTCAGGCGGCCACCTCTAAAGCCC